AGGAGAGCTCTTTAAAGTAGAGACACTACATACTGATATACACCTGAACATCAGCAGGAGAGGACTCTTTAAAGTAGACACACTACATACTGATATATACCTGAACATCAGCAGGAGAGGACTCTTTAAAGTAGAGACACTACATACTGATATACACCTGAACATCAGCAGGAGAGGACTCTTTAAAGTAGAGACACTACATACTGATATACACCTGAACATCAGCAGGAGAGGACTCTTTAAAGTAGAGACACTAAATACTGATATGAAGCTAAAATGAACAGAATAGGGAGATATTTTAGGTTGTGTCTACATATGTTAAAGTTTTAGTATCAAACCGAAGGACGAATAAATCAACAGTAAAGCTGATTTTCTGCGTTCAACCTGACTTGAACACCACCGCTGTGTGAACAGTGTTTTTGTGAAGTAATAGGAACTGTTGATGGAGAGCAAACACACTGTGTGGGAGAGGAACAGACCTCAAGAGGCTTATGAAAATGAATCCACTCAAAATAAAAGCGATGGCAAACGGAAGTTAGGGTAAATTGGGTACAAGAAGAAAATTGCATTAAAATGTATGTAGAGATTATTATGAGAATTAAATACTGAGTGATTGAAAATGAAATACAACAGGGATGATGAGGATGGTGTCTGACAACCTGTTATATTCAGAATGACTAAATTGCTACTTTAACTTACATTAAACCCTGAAAATCATTGTTTTACTGACTTATTCTGGTGGAAAGTTGGTGGTTTGCTGCACATTGGACCACAAACAACAGTCAAATGATAGTGTACTGACTATACCTAACTAAATACAAATACTCCCTGCTGTATAGAAGAATAATAATATTTATTTATTTGTATTCACTACTATGAACTGTTACTTAAATGTTTGCTTTAATTTTATCCGGCACGATTGTATCTGTATCTGTCATTCACTTGAACAAATATATAAAAAATAAAGTGACTCTGAATCTTTACAGGATACATTTGCATTGGTATTTCGACCAAAGCACGGTGCTCCTTCTTTACAGAGAGCGACAAAGACACAGCGGCTGCTTCTCCTCAGTGATGGCCGACTTTCTGGAGACGGTGAAAACCAATAATTCACACAAATCTACAGAGTGATGGGCTTTCAGAGAGCTTTCGAGGACACACTGATACACACTGGCTAGACTGGTGACAGACACTTGCCCTTCCACACTTCCACATGATCCTGCACACACACACACACACACACACACAGTACTCACGTTTAAGGAAGCGGTTACGGACCCATTTATTTTGTTTGCGGGCGTAACGCCTCGTGGCAATCTTCAAAGCTTCTATTCCTAGAAAGAGTTGAAAGCAGGCCGTTAGAGATGAAGGGGCGATAGGAGCGAAATCTTTAAATGGATTCTTCAGTCCACAAACGGGGAATCTGAATCCATCTCTGGGACTTTCATCACTTTATTTCTGACCTTTATCTTTAAGCGCGTCTCTCTCCTGCTGGGTGCTGCTTTCAGGAGCGGTCAGGAACTCATGAAACTCCTTAAAACCGATCGACTGGAAAATCCCACGTTGATAGTCCTGACTGGAGAGAGGAGAGGAGAAGTGAGAAGATGAGAGGAGAGAAGTGAAAAGAGGAGACAAGGTGACACGAAGGAATAGGAAAGGAGTAGAGTTGAGGAAATGAAAATAGTGAATAGGAGAGAACATTTGGAAAGGAGAGGAGACGACGTGAAGGCAAAGGAAACGAGAGTAGATTTGAGGAAAGGAAAGAAAAAGAGGAGAGGAGAAGACAGGAGAAGGAAAGGAAAGAAAAAGAGGAAAAGACAGGAGACACAACAACGAAACAAAAAGGAGAAGAGGGGAAGACATTAAAGAATAGGAAAGGAGATTAGATTTGAGGGAAAGAAAAGATAGGAAAGGACAGTAAACAGGGAGAGGAGAGGATACGAAAGGGAAAGAGGAAAACGAGAAGAAGAGTTAAGAAGGGGATGAAGAGTGGAGAGAAAAGGAGAAGACACAAAAGGAGGAGAGGAAAATACATTAAAGAATAGGACATTCTTGCGGGAAAGAGAGGAAAGGACAGTAGGAAAGGACAGTAAACAAGGAGAGGAGAGGATAAGACAGGAAAGGAGATGAGAAAATGGGAGAGGAGAGGAGTGAAAAGAGGGGAGCCAAATATGGGGAGAGGAGAAGACATTAAAGGATATAGGAAAGGAGATTAGAAAGAAGGAAAGAGAAGATTGGACAGTAAAAAAGGAAAGGATAGGAAAGGAAAAGAAACAAGAGGAAACAAGAAGAGAAATGAGAAGACATTAAAGGAGAGATGAGAAATTAGGAGAGGACAGGAAAAAGATAAGAGAAGAAAATAAAACTTCCTCCATCAATAAAAGAGCACAACGTTTCAGTGTCCATCTTGACATTTCTAGACACTGGGTGGTGACTCATTTCACCTTCTCTCCTTCTCCTTCACTATCTCTCCTACCCTCCCTGATCGAAGAATATCAGTCTGAGCAGATGTGGGGCCCTTTGGGGGACAACGTGACAGAATGACATTAAGGGAAGTGAACGGCCGACAGAGGATCCCCAGGGGTCCGAGTATCCTCACCGGAGTGACATGAGGTCGAGAGGAAGCCCACAGGATACCTCCACGACAGCAAAGCCAAAATATTGACTATCAATGTCACTCCGTTTCCCCGTAATTCCAGTATTACTGTCGGTCTCAGATTGTAGATATAGCTCCTCAGTTGGTGTGCGTGTTGAGTTCACTGACCTTTTGGCATTTTTCTGTGTACCTCTACCAGAAAAGGTTCTACGTATAACAGTTCACTTTACAATGCCTCTTTGGATTTATTAGATTACATTTTCATTTAATAAAAAAACTGCAGCTACTTTGCACATGTATATAATACCTTATATTCATTTGTTTCTGTTTAAGGGGTAGATTTGATATAATCCTCTTATTATTCTGCATTGCATATTCTTTAGATACTCCATTGATATATATATATATATATATATATATATATCTCGCTTCTACTGTTACTGTACATTTACAGTTTATTTTTGTTTATTATATTTTAATTTTCATTCAAATCTGAAATCTAAGGAAGTAACTAGGCAGTTTTCCAAGCACATTTACGACGGAACCAAACTTTGGCTCGTATGACATCCATAAATTATTTTTTTTTAAAAAAGGGTTTATTATCCTATCATCAATATCATGCAGTGCCCAACAAACACTGGTAACCAAAAACTGGTAAACAAACTAGGGCTATCCCGAATACCATTTTTCGGGCTCCGGATATTCGGTAGTAATCAGCAGCGAATATTTGGATATTCGGCGGGCGCGCGGCTTCAACACGTGTATTTCGGTTTATTCAAAAGGCATTCATTTTGTTATTCTACAGTATTGTTGTTTTATAGTTATTTGTTCATTTAAATAACCCAATTTATGTTCTTTGAAATTGAAAATGATATTGTGTTTGTTACTTTCGTTGCAGTTGTATATATGTCTTAATTTGGCTTGGCTTCCTATTTTGTATGGACATGCTTTTACTTTGAAGGAGAGTAACGGCCCGTCCACATGCATGAAAAAAATCTTTCAAAGCTTCGCCCATTAACTTGAATGGGGTGACGTAGAAGATTTTTAATCTTCGCCGAACTGCATTGTGGGGAGCGGAGCATGGCTTTGCAAGCATCGTGAGCATCAAAAGTTGAGCAATTAGACCCTCCAGAAAAACGCGATTCTGCGATCGCAGAATTTACCGCATAATCAGCAAAATGGCGCAGATTTTTAAAAGGCCGCATATTTATCAAAAGGCCGCATAATCCCCGCATTTTTCCACACAAAGTTGAGAAGAAAAAAAAGTTAACTTGTCTTGACGTGACGTCATCAGCTCGCGCATCACAGAATGTAAACAACACTGTATAGAGTGAACGTGTGGAGCTCACACGATAGAGAAAACACCAAGATGAAAAAATCTAATCCATCTCATTTACCGACGAACATTTCTACTAAAGACCGGGCAAAAAGTGGGGGGAAACTATTCTGCACCCCGTGCAACTGTGTGTTGGAGCATAAGAGAACATCGACGTGACGACCCACTTTGATTCATTCAAACATTTGAAAATGCTTTCTGCTGCTGCGGAAAAGAAAGCCAAACAACTCAAATTCACCGAGGCATCAACCTCCAAAACCCCTTCGAGGGCTACAAGAAACGAAGTGAGTAGCCTACAAGATTGAAGCTGGTCAGATAACGAACGAGTAAATGAAAACAGAATGAGGCGGAGGTGTGTGT